TTTCTCACTTAAAGATGATGGTAACATTGAATAATTTCGCTCAGGAAAATATACAGTTTGAACCCTTGAGCGAGCAATCTGTGCTAACCTATGACCAGGATGAATGTAAGTGGATGGATCTGCAACATGAATGTGTACCCATATTGTTTCTGTTTCAGATGAATTATTTATCCGTTCTATTGAAATTCCATCATCAAGTTCATGAGCTGTCGGATCATCTATAGTATAAACAGGCAAATTACCAAAGTCATATCGAATATCTTCACAAATATCATGGGAATAAAAATCATCTGCTCCGAGGAAATCTTTTGTTTTAATTAGTGGTGAAGGTGTTAACGTTGTTGGATTATTTTTCGATGTGTTAAACGGCTGGGAATTTAATAAATTTTCAGACAATTTTATAATATCTTCCTGTTCTTTATCTGCCTCTTTAGAAACACCGTGACCGCTCAATTTTGCTGTTTCGTCATAAACCATCAAGTTTTCCCAAGGTGCCCATACACCAATTTCTTTCAAAAATTGAATTGCACATTCTCTGTCAAAATCACTTTCATATAACTTCAGTGGCTTCAAAATTGCCGATAAATGTGCATCTAGACCACTTTGATTATTCTTAGGAGTCAAGATAAAAGTTTTAACTAAATTAATGAACATTTGATCATCAGGGGTGAATTCTGGTAATGTCACTTCCTTAATATATGAAGGTAGCTCCGAAACATTTTCGTTAATTGAACGTATGTGCTGAATAATTTTTGTTACTTTTTCTTGAAATCTAATTACTCTCGAATCACGAAGACGAATCCATTCTAACACTTTTGTTATAGCATTGACCGTTTTTTTTGATCTCAATATGTATGTTCCGTTTTTCCTGATTTCCAAAGGGTCTGCCATGAAATATATATTTTCCTTAAAAAAGTACATATGCGTTGCTAATAATTGTACTTCAGTTGGATTATCGATCTGAAATGTGTGACGAGCCGCATCTTGAATCATAATCTTTTTATTTTCTAATTCATCTGCAAATTGTGAATGAATTTGACGAAATGCAAAAGTTTTGGAAAGTAAAAGCATTTGAGCTGATTTATTTAAATCAGCAGCGAGTTTTCCATAAGTTTCAGGAATTGGTGAACCAAATTCGAGTTTAGAATTGTTAAATTCTTTATTATAAGCATATCCTGTAATTTTGAAAACAATATCTTCGGAACGAGTTAAAAGTAGGTGATGGTTTGAAAGCAAAATTTCATTTTTATTTGCAGTTGATGTGGGATCTCTACTTAATTTAGTAAGGATTCCTATATAAACTTTGCCATTTCTTTATAATCATTATGAAATATTAGTCATAATTAAATAATTTTAATAAGATAAGAATTATTATAATTTATACATATTTACCTTCGCACTTCTACAAAATCTCCTACTTGTAATTGAAAAGAAGTAGGGGATGCTTCAACAATATCTGTTAAGTCAATTTCTGGCTCCTTTACGTTTGATGTATAAATAGTCAAATCCTTTTTAGGAATTTGTTTAATAATTTTATGTTTTGATATTTCCGAATGCTTTACAACATATTGATTAATAGGTTTTTGTGTCTTATTACTTTAATATAAATAAAATCGATTAAAATCATTTATTATGTTAAATATACAAATAACCATATATACCTTTTTTCTTCTTTTTCAACTTTCTTACGAGGAGGCCGAGATGGTTTTTTCGGTTTAGGAGGGTCTGGTACTGATTTTGTCGTCCAATGATATTTTTTATATGAACTTGGATGAATTTTAAATTGTTTATTATTTATACGTAAAAGGGAAGTAACAAGACAGGGACTTAATTGTTGTTGCCTTTGCGTTAATCTAAAAGTTTCTTTTGCTATTGAAATCATTTTATCACTTGAAAGAGATTTTTTCCACATCTTATCAAAATTTTTTCGTGTCACACTCTAAATATAGAAACGGATATAGCAATCGGCAGTACAAACGACCGCAGCAAAATACCATCATAATAATTGTATAAAAGAAACTCTGTATACAGAGTATGATCGAGATTATAAAAATATTTTAAAGGTATTTTTATTTATATAAACTAGAACTTTGAAAAAGAAATGTGACATCTGGATGTGCAATAACAAAGAGTATGCAATCGAATGTAAAGCAACAAGGTTTCTGATAATGACATTATAAGCAGCCGATCAGGCTATTGGATACACGGAAGAACGAGAAAAAGTATGCTGTATGCTCGTCTTTAACTTTGTGTCATGTAAACCCATGATTATAATATAAATTCACTTTTTCCAAGCGTTGATAAACCAAGAGATGAAATCTACTTTGAAACCGTATACTCAAGCAACTAAAAGCGCAAAAGTTCGTCACAATTGTATAAAGGATGAGGAAATTTCATTTGCAAGTTATTAAATAACTTAGTGCTATACAATATTCACAATGCTAGTTTGGTACAAGAAAAGTATAAGATCTATATATAATATCTATCATTTTATTATGAATAAATTCCATATGTAAACGCAAGCTATAATTTCTTTGAAGTAAAACACTCGCTATGCCTTATACCGATCTTTTTATTTTTCTGATGCACAATCAAAATCATGCAGTATTACAGATGATAAGTTACAGATACGTTAGCAAACCCAGAAACGAAATCTTATCTGAAGGCAAGTACTCTGGCTAAACAATTAATCTCTATTTCAGATACGCCTACGCAGTGTTGTACACGGACGTTGTCCCGGTGATTTTTGGCGTCCGAAAGTCCATGTCCGCAGGACAGTTGGGACATGGACCGATATTAGATATCCTTTGGCCAGAATTAACAAGAGATATGGCCAGCATTAATGCGGACAAAATGTCCCGGACATAAAAAAATCTCGGACATGTCCCATGACAACACTGCGCCTACGCTTACCGGCTCCTTAATAAATTTTTTGAATATTTTGAATTTCAACTTGTAAGTCACCGATCTCTTCTTCCTTTCTTTTTTTTATTTCTTTTGTATAATAAATCTTTCTGGTTTAGTTCGTTGTCGTAAACGAGTGATCATTTCGGACGCGTACCTGGAAAATTATTGGCTATTAAAATTATATATTTCCATAATTAGTGTATATTATGAAGATCTTTGAATCCCACAATTTCAAATTTTTCACTTTTTAATATAAATAAGAATAGAAATCATTTGTCGATTCCTCAGTTCACATTCACTTTTGTGGGTGTTTACTTCCTCTTGTGGAGGAAGGCGATGGTTATAGGTAGACTCTTTCACCATGTCTTCGGATAGGTAGACGGATTCACCATGTAGTCTAGTCTTCACTTTATGAGTGGTAAAACTATTATAAATTATAGCGGGTGGTGTGATAAGAGGGATTTTTTTGGGATTAAACATATAAGATTATTGTCTTTTGCACTTGTTAACAATACTTTTACCCAAATCAACAACTGCGCTTATTAATTTCTAATTTAAACTAAGGAATTTTTTTGACGAAATGAAAACTGTAATAAGCGCGAACCAATATATCATCAAAGTTCACAAAGTTCACAATAAATTTTATATAACTTGCCAAACCAAAATTTCGTCTACCAAAACCGTTTCGTCGCCTATAATCTCTTAAACAGTATATTAGAAGAAATTTACAATTTCTAAGATCCTAAGATGACCAAATGCTTAATACTGTCTTTTTATTCATTTATAAATTAGTTATACGCTCAAAATGATAATAATTCAGATGATAAAAAAAAAGTCGTTCTTATTACACAGAAAATGTCATTTATTAAAAGAATGATAATAAAATCAAAATTTTCAGTCATGTCCAAGTTGTTGATAGTGACTATAACAGTATCATTAGCTATAAAATTTGTCGACTTTTGCCATTTGTTAAAACTAGGTTTGCTACTTCTATAGTTGTCACCGCTAGGTGAATCATGTAAATAATTATCTAATCTTGTTTAATGGAATTGGAAAAAAATAAAATAAAGTTTCGGACTTAAGTTTGAAAGTTTTATGGTTAAATTATTGGTTAGTGAAGTGGCTTGTAATTATGTTTAGGTCAGATATCATTTTGTAGTGTGTGGAGAGAGGTAGTAGTTCAGATGTCTTGCATTCTAGTCTTTCGTATTCTATGATCATGGATGTATCAGCGGCAAATGCTTCGACCTTATTTTGACAGTTCTTTATGAGTCTAGGTTTAATGATACATCAGGTAAGATTAATCCTTAGGTTTTGTGGACTGTGATGGTGAAGACGTTTATTGAATTCTGCTCGTGGGGGGCTCCATTTATTATGAATAAGAAGGTGTGTTTTTTATTGCTATGTATTATCGCACCTTAAATGCAAAATGCACATCTCATTCCTTGTGATTCCATGTTTATAGTTGGTGATTATTCTGATTGTTCTGTTGGATATTTTGTGTTTTTATTCTTTTATTCGGAATTGTTTAAAAATATGATTCTGGTGCCTATCTATAATATAATAAATAATTTTGCGATCGATTTAAAAAAATTTGTTTATTATATTACGGTTTATTAACGGTTAATTAACTTGTAAATCTTAAACGTTAGTTAAATTAAAAAAATTTTAAAATAAGTAATGATAAGCTCCGTTGATCGACATTACATTGTCTATTGTTATTAAACGTGTCAGAAAACCGATATAGTTACTCCCCGCACTGTTATTTTTTACAACAAAAAAAATTTGTGCGTCAATTCTAGATCTTCACGTGACTTATAAATGATTATCTTTAAATTTTTTTTTTTTTTTTTTTTTGGCTCCTGAAGTTTTTTTCAAAGATAAAACAATGTATTCGGGACTTACCCGAAGGATAATTATACGGGCTCAGAATAATGTTTTGGTGTGTAAATGTTGAGACTTTAAAAATTTGAATGAAAAGAAACATAAAATTGATAGTAATATATACTAAAAATAATTGATTTTTCCCGGTTTCAAACATTTATACAAAAAAGCATTCGAAATTCGGTGCTAATGTGCATAACACAGCTCTCATGCTACCTATAACTATATCTAATAGATATAATAGATATCAATCTACAGAATCTTCAACCTCGGCTGTTGAATACAAACTTACGCATCCTCGTAGAAAACCGCCACCTTTGCCTAATTTTGCTCCACCAAATTCGTCAGCTAAAGAAGCTGTTAACAATATCTTATATAATAATTCTTTATCTCCTCCTTCATCTCCAAAAAAACATATTTTAAATTGTTTTGTACAAAATGAGCCTGGTGTATTGAGTAGAGTGAGCGGTATTTTAGCCGCAAGAGGTTTTAATATTGATTCATTAGTTGTAGCCAAAACAGAAGTAGCTGACTTAAGTAGAATGACAATCGTTTTGCGAGAAAAAGATGATGTAATCGAGCAGGCCAGAAGGCAATTAGCTGATTTGGTGCGCGTATAAATGATTTATTATTAGATAGTTAAATATCATTTTAATTAAAAATTTATTTTATTTTATTTTATAGGTTCCAGTATGGGCTGTTATTGATTATACTAATAAGTCGATTGTTCAACGGGAATTGTTATTGGTTAAAGTATCATTTTTAGGACCCGAACATTTACATGAACAATTAATTAGACGTGAAGAAAATGATGAAGAATTTAATCCTGAGGCAAATTTAGAAGCGGAGGTATTTTTAATTTTAAAGGACAATTTTCTAATAAGATAATTTTCTCAATTCTTCTTTTATTTAATAGATTCCTGATGTTGATCCTCCTATCGTGGACGATCAAACAATACTATCTCCATCTGCAATATTAAGACGAAAATTCGCTCATTTACGCGCATTAACTGATTTATCAAAACTTTTTGGAGCTCATTTACTAGACGTTGCAAATGATAGTGTTGTAATTGAATTGGCCGCAAAACCTACTAGACTTGATGCATTTATTAAATTGATTAAACCTTTTGGTATCTTGGAATTAGCAAGAAGCGGTAATTAATAAAATTTCACCATTTTTTTTTTTAATTTGCATCATTTATTAATCTATCAATTAACCGTGTGATATTATATGGTAGGCACGATGGCACTTCCGCGAACTCCACTTGATCTAGAAAAGGAAGTAGTAGAGGAAGATAGTGAAGACAACGGTGTGGACCTAACTATGTTGCCTCCTGGCTAGTTATTATTTCGTATAGAAACGATATTAGATTTTACTGGTAAAAAAAAAATTAATATTAATAATAATAATAATAATAATAATAAAACAGGAAAAAGAGTGGATTTCATAAGTACTCTTTGTAATCATATAAAGAGGTTTAAAATATATAGCTTAATAATTGTTCATTATTATTTATTAAATATAAAACGAACAATCAATCACAAAATTATTATTGTTGTATATTACAAAAGAAAAAATTCTTTTTAAAGAAATAAGTGTTAATGTTGAAAACATAGATAGTAAATCCACCAACAAAATAAAAAAATTTGATTTATTGTACACTAATGGGTAAATTCCTTTTAAAATACAAAATCTCAAACTTATTTCAAAATCATTTTAATAAATAAAATTTCCCAAAATAATAAAACATGAAATAAATTAAAAACACCAAAAAATGTAACTTTTTTTAAAAAATGTTTCTGTTAACCTCCAAACTTACTCTTTTATTAAAAAGAGCAAACTCCTTTTTTTTAAGATGATAATATACTATTAATATAAAAGTTCGCATCGTCATAATGTTGATTTAATTGTTCATTTGACATAATTAATGTAGATTCGTCCTCCTCATCCTCTTCTTCGTCTTCCATATTTTCAATTCCTTGTTGAAATTCGCTTATCATACGTTCAAACTCTCCACTTGTGGAGACATGTTTTAGGAAAGGATGCTAATAAAATAACGATATGAGTATATTATAATAATCATCATAGTGACAACATCAAATGACTAACCTTGAGCAATTCCACCCCAGCCTTTCGTTTTTTAGCATCAATTTCTGTACATTCTGCGAGAAATTCTTTAAATGTTTCGGACCATTTCTCGGGATTGCATAGATCTGGAACACCATATCGGGCAATAAGTTCTATGGCCTTTTTAAAAACATTATTATTAATTTTTATAAAATTAATATATTATAAAATTAAAACTGTACAAATTTAAAATCAAAATACCTTTAATGGTGGATGTTCATCCATATATGGGGGACTACCTTCCGCCATTTCTCTTAACAATATGCCAAGGCTCCAAATATCAACCTGTAAAAAAAAAGTGATTGATTACCAAATATTTTATAACCATCTTTATGCAAATCATATTACAAACCTTAGTATCATAGTTATTACACTTTATAACTTCAGGGGCCATCCAAAAAGGTGTACCTATGAGTGAATTTCGATAAGGATGTTTTTCCGTCAATTGTACAGAGTATGTGAAGTCCGCTACAAAGTTTTTTTTATAAAATATTAATAACCAACGCGTCTAAACCATAATAAATGATCCTCTTCGACCAAATATATTCTTTACCAAGTTTAATATCTCCTTTAGCATTCAATAAGACATTATCGCTACGAACATCTCTGTGAATACGACCTAAACTATGTAAACGCGTGAGAGCTTTTAATATCTCTCGAGCCACTCGCGCTATATGAAATTCACTAATTCTGTGGTCATTTTTGTATAATGATATCAAATCAGCAAGTGATACTTCCATGTATTCCATTATCACCTATAATAATAAAAATATATATAAATAAATACACATCTCAAATAATTTTGTTTTGTTTACTAACCCATATGGAATCATTTGTATAATAACATCCTATACACTCTACAATATTTGGATGTTTACTCTTTTTCATCATAGACAATTCATTCTTAATTATTTCTAGTTTATTAGTGCTCGTGAATGGAATGATTTTGATTGCAACCTGAAAATTAAAGAGTTAAATTAATTATTTATTAAAGTATTGCAAAAAAAAATTGAAAGTTGAATGTTTACCACGCTTTCTGAATTATCTTTGTTTGCTGCATATATGTCTCCAGATTCGCCTTCAGCTATCATATTTAAATTGGTGAAAATCTTACTTGGATCACCCGTTTCCAGTATGTCGGCTAAAATAAAAAAAATTTAAATATTTTACATTGAAACAATCTTCAAGAAAGGAAAAAGTAATATACCAAGGTGTTTAATTTCCTGTGGTAAGGTTTCGGGATTGACTATAAACTTAGATATATGTTGTCGCTCATTTTCCGTATTATAATTTTTTGACAAATTTGACGACCGTTTTATATCTGAAAGCGATGAACATTTCCGTATTATTTCTGAAGACTTTAGCATTTGTGTCTTTTCTGTATTTAATGATAAAGAAAAAATAAAGAAATATTCGTAAAAGAAGAAGAAAAGTAGGTAAAGAAGAAGAATATATTTTGCATCGAACCATTATTAATCTGTGACGAATGCTTATAAGGTTTTGAGGAATTGTCCATTATTTCCGATGAATTTGGTGTTATATCTAAACCATGTGCTATACATTCCATTGATTTAAATTTTTTACTTAAAGTTCCATCATTTGTGGACTTATTTACATTTTGTGTATAAGTTAACTTTTCATTTAACATTGAATTGTCTGAAATGATTTGTTCTTGACTAGTATTTATCGATTCTCTCGATGAATTCATACTATTTGTACTAACTATGGAACTTTCTGGGCTATAATAAACGGGACCTGAAACCAGTTTATTGGAAATGTCTTGATTATTACATACAACAGTTCCGGGAACATTGGAATTTCGAACCGTTGTTGATGAATTAATACTATAAGGATGTGTGGGTGGCGAAATTGAACTATCTAAACATATTGCAGGCGGTATCGATGTAACACTCGAGGTTTTTTTAGGTCTAATAGTATCATTATTAGATTCTACTCTTTGACTACTAGGTCGATCAGGTCGCGGTGGTTGAGGTCCCACTTTATAAATTGATGGTGTTGTAATGGGTGTACCAGAAAGTTTACGAGGTGGTGGAATTTTAGGTGATGTGGGTCTGGATGGTATAAATTTTGGTGATGCAGACTTATCTCTTGGTGGTAAAATTGAAACATTAAGTATCTGTGCAGACATAATTTCATCATTCGTTGATATTAATGAACTTGTATTTCCATTTGACAATTTTCGTTGTTCTCTTGGTGGTGGAATTGGCGAAGTTGCGCGATCTCGTATTGGGACAGGTGATGAAGGCCTTCCTCGTGATGATGATATCGGAGATGAGGGTCGTTCACGTGATGGAGGTATAGGAGATGAAGGTCGATCCCTTTGCATTGAATCTCTCAGAGGTGGAGTTGGTATTGCAAAATTCGATCCTCTCCTTGGCGGGACTGGCACTATATTATTCCTCGGAGGATTTGCTGATGGAGGATTAGCAAACGTCCTTGATGGTGATAAAATTCCATTATCTTTACCAGATGGTGAAGTCGCAAGATTCCTTGTATATGGAGAATTTATTTCATCCTTATAAGAATGATTAACATTTACAGATAAAGAAGAATTAACCGAATTTACAGAATTAATCGATTCTTTTCCTGATCTTTGTGATCCATTAGAACCTTTTCTTTGAGGAATCGTATTTAAATTTTTTTGTCCCGAATATACATCAAGAGAATCAGTAGAATGTCCATGTTTATTTGTATTAGAATATACTTTGACAGATCCACTTGAACTTTTTCGTTGAAGAGAATGAATTTTATTATATTTCGATCCAATAAAATTGTCATTTGATTCATTTGATTGTCCATATGTTGAAGGACTTGAATATTTTCTAACCAGTGGTACTCCTACTACGACGGAAGATTTTCGTGGTGGTAAATTATTTATCGTTGATGTTGGTCGGAAACTTTCTACATTTTGTTGTGTGTTATGGGAACCAAGAGAAACAGATCGTTGATGTATAACTGAATTATTTAGTCTTTTTTGATCATCTGCCATTCTTAATTGCATGACTTTTCGAAACGCTTCCGGATGTTGTCGTACTTCATCTTCGGTTATACCAGCTGATTCAAGCATAGATTTCCAATCTGAAGGAAGACCCTAAATTGAATAATTATTTGAATTTCTAACTTAAATTTTATCATTAAAACAAAATTTATTTAAAATACTTTACATACCACAAGACCATTCTCGTCAACGTCTACATGGATATTATGCTTAAAATTATAAGGTTGGCCGATATTTTTACCAGTGATCTCAGTTGTATCTAAAAGTGTACTAAGTTGGTTAAAACCTAAACTTGAAACCTTCCATTTATCGTAGTATTTAAACTTACCGGGTGAGCCTGGACTTGGAACAAGGTTAGGATTGATGTATTTTGTATTTAATATTTCATCACTTGGTACTGTACTAGACCATACATCAGGTAACCCCTAAAAAGATATAAATTAATTTCAATCTTTAAATAATGATTATCAATATATAAAGATATATCAATTCAATCAAAGAAAAGCAGCCTCATATGATATTCTATATTTTTTTTAAAGTATTGAATTCAAAAATTTCAACTTACCAAAAATTTACCACTTTCAGTGTTATACTCCACATGAATTCCATGTTCAAACTCGGTAGGCTTACTTATTTCAATAATTTTATTTCCAAATCCTTTTTTTTTTCTGTGCAGACTTGACGTCGAACTATTATTTTGATTGTAGTAAGAGGCATCAGATTTCTTTCCTTCAAGTTTTGGTCTCTCGTTACTAGCGACATTATAGTAGCTATCACCAGAATTTCTCTCCTCAGACTGAACGACACCTCCGTTAGTCGACACTTGGTTGCCCAGCTTGACAAACTTTCCCTTGAGAAAATCCAATATGAAATACGTATTAATTTAAACGATTAACAAGTTGATAAATTATTTCTGATAATAATTTTTGCTTTTTACTTGGCGGGACTATAAATAAATAAAATGCGAAAGCCGATTGGTCGTACTGAATCTTTTAATTCACTAATAAATTCATAATGCAAGATCCATAGAACTTCTCGTGATAATTTCAATGATTATTACAATCCGTTATCGTTGCACGAACTAGAATATTACTAAAAACGTTTCCCATAATTTTTATTCATCACGACGATTGTGTATCATTTTAAGTTTTATAAAATACTTACCAGGTATAATAAAAATGCCGCAGTATTCACAAGTCTTAAGTATCTTGTAAACTTACACTAATAATAGAGGTATAAATTAAGTGTAAGTAGTAATTAAAAATCAATTAATTGCACCAAAGATGATTTACTAGTTGATAAATACTTTTAAAGGCATTTTTGCAATAATAACTGCTATATTTTATTTTCAAATTACAAAAATTCACAGGTATATACAAATCAAAGGAAAAAAATAAAAAGGTTATTGTAAGATAAAAAAAAGAAGCAACAGAGAATATATTGAACTGATTCTAGATTCTTTTTATGAAATGAAGATTTGAATAATCATATTATAAAGATTACGCACGTTATTTTTATATTTCTAAAACAAATTTTAACAGTATATTACGTATACAATTATTATCGTTTCCAAGAACGCTCTCGTTCTTCATCTTCATCATCTTCTGCTTGAAAATCTGCTGTAACGTTATGCGACACTGATGAAGATTCAGTATCGACTATTTGAGATTCTGTTATATCACTAACTACTTCTGCAATATTATCGACAGTATTAGAGCTCGTTGTCACCGTCGTCGTCACTTCTGCAGGACGAGTAGCAGAACTTGTTTCTGTATGCCATGTCATTTGTACTTGACCAACGTCAGGAATATTGGAACCTTTCACAAGTGCCTTAAATAGTCAACGTAATTAAAATTTAAATGTAATGCAAAGAAATATATAAATACATCTATTTAAATAAAATACCTGTTCAGCATCCTTTCTATTTTTGAATTGTACAATTGCTGTTCGTGTTTCTTCGGTAACTGTAAAGGTTTCAAGTTCCCCGAATTGCTAATAAATAAATTTGATCCATTAATCACAATCAAATTATTAAATTCAAAGTCCTTTTATTTAAATGAGAAATTTACTTGGAAATAATTTCGAAGAATATCAGTAGACCCTGCCGGGACCTCTTTTAATAAAAGTTTTGATGTGCGATTATCAAGTTTATAGGAACGCATAGCACTTCCACCACGGACTCGAGGCCAACTTCCACGAGCTCTACCGCGATAAAAGACAGCCCGCCCACGTCCTCGATAAATAGCAGAATCGGTAAAACTAATTAAGCTAGCTGCTGATGTATTCGTCTAAGTTCACAAAATTATCTAATTATTAATACTCATCTATCATTAATTAGAATAGACAAATAAACAAATATTTTTACCTCGAGATTAGTTTCAGTACTGGACTGTGCGTTAACGACAGATGACACTGCTGAAGTTGACGGTTCATTCGCAGCACTATTTTCATTTATTTTGCTTAGAATATCGAGCTCTCTATCTAGCTGTTCCCTTTCTTTTTCTTCCAATAAACTTTTAGGATGAATGGCTCCGCTTAAAGAAGTTTTTCGAACAGGTACATTCGAATCATTCTTAATATCTTCAGAAACTTTGCTCAAACTTTTAAGAACTTCTTCTCGATTTTTGGAGTTCACATTTTTCTTTTTAGCAAGTTCCATCAATTTCTTTTGTTCTTCAATCTGTCTATTGATCAATTGCTCTCTTTGTTTTTGAATCTCAAGCATTGCCTTAAGACTTTCTTTTTGTTTTTTAGCTTTTTCTTCAGCCTCTTTCTTTTCAGCAGCATTAGCTGGTGGTGAAATTTCTGGTTGAGCAATGGTATGATCTGGTTTTACAGGGGAAACTGGTTTTGGTATTGTGGTAGTTGAAGTTTGTGGCTCTTCTTTCTCCTTATACCAGTATACTTTAACAAATCGATAATCAAAAATTGGCTCCGGAGAATTATAAGCTTTATATGCTTCCGAACTATTACTGAATTGAATGATAGCTTTGTTATAGTTAATATCAATGTTGATGTTGATGATGGTACCAAACTTTTTAAAGAATTCATTCACTTTATCAAGAGTACAGAATTCTTTCGGTATATTCTCAACCACTAATGTCGCATTTTTATTTGCACTACTACCATATCTATTATTAGCATTAAATCCCCCACGACTTCCACGAGAACGACCTCGCCCTCTAAATGTAGTACCTCTAGTAGTAGAAATACCGAGACTTGAATCTAAAAATTGTGGAACGCTTGGTGCTGTTAACGATAGAGTTGATTCAGTTACAGCGGCCTCAGGAGAAGTTTGTGAAGCTTCATTCTCCTTTGGTTCTATCACAGAAATCAATTCTTCTGGACGCGATAACGTAGCACGTTCAGGATCGTAAGCATCTGCTGTTGGTGTCATAGATCTTGAGGTTTGACCGGCTAAATCAAAAATAAAAAAAAATAAAATAAAAATAAGATTAATAAATAAAATAAATGATAAAAATGTATAAATATTTTTTATATTTACAATATCCCGGATCAAGATCATATTGATTTCGAACACCAGCAGTACTCATAAAGTACGGTGGTCTCGAAGGAACGCCAGCACTCATTATACCAACTGGACCAGTTAATGGAGTACCAGCCATTGGAGGTATAATGTCAAATGGTCTATTCAATGGAACGTCATCTACAACAATCCTATCTACACCGTGGTCAAAGGGGCAAAGATCACCACGCATGCAATAACCTTTTTCTGTTATTGTAAATAAAAAATAAGCTTATGAATTACATAAAATACGATATTATAATGAAAATGTTGAATTTTGCTCACCATCATAATCACGACAACGTTGACGTCTCCCAGGCCTAACATCAGAATAACCAGAACCACGATTTACAACCATGGGCCCACTTCTACCTCCTCCACGCTCACTTAACCTCCCACCTCGAATTCTCCTATCATCAAAACGATCATTGACTGGAGAGTTCATTCCATTATTAACCCATTCATTTCCCCACCGACCAGAACTTATGCTTGAACCCGGAGAACCGGATGATATAGAAGGAAAATTCCTGTTTATCCTATTATCTCTTTCAAATTCAGCACGTCGAACGTTTCCTCCACTCATTCCATTATTAGAAACGTAACCATTTCCACTTCCCGATATAGGCTGACTAGTTCCTAATGAATTATTGCGAGGAATTTTATTTGAACGAAATTCCTCTTCAGGTTCATCACGACGCCGTTTGAAAGATCGATCATCTTGAAAATTATTATTATATTGAGATCCTCCTGATGCAGGACCAGTGGGAATACCTTCGCTACTACGAAACCTCTTATTTTTTGAGTCTCTATCGTCTTCTCGGTTCGAGAAGCTAGCAGATCGATCAGTATACCGACGATAATCATCTCGATTCTCGCCGCCTCTCTCTCTGTGCTTGTAATTTCTATCATCATCATCATCCGAAGCTTCGCTATCTTCTCTTTTCCGAACCCCCATCTTTGAGGGTTGACTATCAACCTTTTCTGATGTCAACTCTTGGGATTTCGTTGATTTACCTTCAACAATTGAATTATTTGTCGATGATGAGCTTGCATTTATAGTTGATTCCTGTTGTGATTGAATCGCAGTTAATGCAACTCTTTCGCCAAGATATTCTTGTGAACCTAAAGCATCAAACAATTTTTCAACAAAAGGTCTGGTTTCTATCAGTTAAAACATAAATTAGTAAGTATCAATCATTTTTTAAAGTAATTTAAAAGGAAAAAAAATAAGAACGAGAAAGCCAAATAGTAAATTAAGTTTCTCAACACGAAGAAAATTGTTACAGCCAAGTTGCAGAGTTAAAAGAATTGTTAAAATTTTTAGACATACCTCCTCTTAAAAAGTCGTCAAGTTGGTCTATACATAGCTGTTTTAAATCCTGATCAGGTTTGTCGTGTTTTAAAAGAGCAATAACATAGTCAGCCAAAACCTTGGGATCTGCATCGCAACTTTATTAACAAAATAAAGGAAAAAAAAGCTTTTTAGTAAACAAACTTTTGTTTAACCTCCTAAGTTGATCCCTATATAAGAAAGAATTTAACAAATAAGAAACATTAACAAACAAACAAGGAGAGATCAAACATACATTGGTTCCAAATGGTGACTAAGATATTTCTTTAAGGCTTTTGAAGATGTGTCGTCAAGAAACATGACTTAAAGTGTAAAGTTATATCTCAAGTTCACGAGGAGAAATCAATATATTGTTAATTTAAGAAGCAAAAGTACGGTATCCGAAGGTCGGATGGATGGATATTGCAGATAATGTACTTGAGCTAAGGAAGTAAGGAGGCGAAAAAAAAATTCTTCTTAAAAAAACTGGTTAGCTTCTGCGGTTCACTTCCCCAACTATAAAGCTGTTTGTTTATAGTGACCGAACTGATAAAGTGATAAAGTGATGTAATGCATTGTCCAATCAAATTACTTACAAATCTACAAATTAAATAATTTCCAAAATCAATTCATTAATTAGCTGACGTGTCCGAGTGGTCCAAGGAGCCAGACTTAAGATCTGGTATGCGAAAGCATGCGTGGGTTCAAACCCCACCGTCAGCAATTGATTTAATGAAAAATTTTTTTTTTTTATATTATAAAAGTAATAATATAAAATGTATTTATACAATATATATATTTTTTTTTAAAATTAAATACATAAATTTTGATTTTTTAATTAAATGGTTAAAATAGTCAAAATATAATTTTTTAAATAATATAACATTACCAACAAGTTTATTAAATATAAAATAAATACAAAAAGTTAAACTAATAAAAAAAATACTAACTATCTTCTATAGCTATATATTAAACCTATTTGTATTAACCTATCATTATTGTTTCTTTTAATAATAAATTCTTATCTAATAAATACTATTATTATAAAAAAAAAAATTATTAGTATTTATCTAAAATCTGAAAATGAATTAATGAAGTTATTTATTAAATTTATAATTTTTAGATATAAAAAAAAGTATTAAAGAAAAAGAAATTAAAATGTTTGCTAATATTTCATTTACATTTGATTTAATAAATAATTTCTAAAATTACTTCTTTTTTAATTTATAACTTTTTATCAATATTTTTATACATTATAATATAATTTGTTAAAGAAAAAAATTAAGAATAAGTGATTATAAAATAATAATTAATTTAAGATAAAAACAAAATTAGTTAAAATTCAATATTGTTAATATGTGATTTTAGTGAATCGTTACAGTTAAACGAAATGTTTGAATGTTGTTTCTTTTATAAGTAGCTTATTAAATTTATTAGAATAATTGTAATAATAGATCCATTTTAATTAAAAAAACGCTTAATTAAAGATAAATATATTTATTAAGAAAATAAAATAAAAAAAATAGAAAAACAATAAAAACATTAGTATCAGACTAGAGAAAATCTAACTTCCTGCCTTTTCAATATTTACAAACCATCCTATTTATATAAAACAATTTATATATAATAATAATTTAACTATATTAGCTATATAAAATAATTAAATATATCAAATCTATAAAAAATGTTTAACATTCTTAACATTTTTAACATTTCTAACATTTTTTTTAACATTTTTAACATTTACAACATTATATATACAAATTAATTTGTAGATCATTTAGTAGATCAATTCTGTATATTTGTTTGTGTAATTCCTTTAGTAGATCAATTTAGTGAAACATGTTGATCATTTGCTTTACCATATTTTTTTGTTAAAATAATCCTAAAACAATATTAAATAATATTTATATAATTATTAATTGATAAAAAAAAATAGTAAATAGATCATCAAAAATTACAAAAAAATCAGAAAATGTATTATTATATATAGATTTCTTTAATAATATTATTAATCAGAATAAAATATATAAAATATGACTAAAAAATATAAAGATTATATTACAATCAATATAATACTAATTTTTGTAAAAATCATAATAATCTAAAAAGTGTAAAAAACTTATCAACAAAATTTTTTTTATAAAAAAGGCTTTAATTGATAAGTTAATAGAAATATGCAATTTTGATCAATAATTTGATATGAACATTTTTATTAAGATCTAAGAAATTCAATTACAAAAAAAATATATTAATAGAAGATTTATTAAAAGAGTTATCAAAAGTAAAAATAAGGATTAATAAAGAGGTTAATATAAAAAAAGAAGTAGATTATGATCAATTTTAGTCAATTATAAAAAATCTGCTTATATTATTAAATATCATTTTATGAAGGAAATTAATTAATCATAAAAAGAAATTATATTTATGAAATAAATTAATATATTTAATAAAAAAGTTTGAAAGAAATAATTCTATATAAAAGAAATAATTTGACTGATTAAAAATAGGAAAGATAAAATTGATAAATTAGAAGAACAAATTATTAATTAGATTTTTATAAAGCAATATATTAAAAGATATTATTAAATTAAAATTAAAATAATCTAATAATAAAAATATCTTATGCATAAATTATTATTAAATTATTTAAAAATAATAGTAAAAATAAATTGAATACCTAAGGTTATTACTTCAGATAAAGAATAAATTGCATGTAGAATTCTAAAAAAGACCATAAAATTATATTAAAATATAATGTTAGAAGTCTTAACAATAAAAATTATATCACTTAAATTTTCAACTTCTTAGAAAAATAAAAATTTAAAAAAAATAAACTAATAACTTTATTCTTTATGACTTATTCTATTAAATTACTAGTCAGTTTTTTAAACAAATACCTATATAAAAAGTTATAAACATTTAAATAGTAAAATTTTTACTAATTACACAGTCTTTTATTAAAAAAGTATCTCCATTTAAAGTTAAATGAAGTAAATTTGAAATATTAACTTTTTCAATTGTTTGTGATTCAGCAAGCATTTCTGCTCTCTTAATATGTTTAATGATTGAACAAAGAGCATTAAAAAATAACATATAGGATTAATACACTTGTGATATATTAACTGTAATATCTTGAATAATTTGTATAGATTTTTCTCATATTATATAAATTTTTTGCTTGATTTAGCTAATAGTTTTCATAACTTTTACATTACAAGGCTAAAGTGAATGATTATGTTTAACAAATTTTTAAGATAATGAGACCTGTTATAAAAAAGTTGTTGTTGTTTAACCCTTACAAATATCTAGTTTTCTTCTTTCATAATACTAATAATATGTTTCATTTTATATTTTATTTTATCATTAAATAGCCTTGAATATTTATTTATTATTTTCTTTTTGAAATGAAACAATATTACATATTTCATAATTATCTTTTTCTAATAAGTTTTTAGATTAAAAAATAAAAAAGCTATAAAGTTTCATTTAAAATTAGCATTTATAATTATGTATAGAATTCTAAATGAACTGAACCAACTTTCGAGTCAAATGAGTTGAGTTGAGTTAAATTAAGTCAAGTCAAAAAAATTTGACTTGTTTAACTTGAGTTAAATTTTAAGTTAAGCTTGATTCAATTTGAGATAACTCGAGCTAAAGTTGAGTAAAACTTAAGCATAAAGTCAAGCCCAAAGTCAAGTAAAACTTGAGTCCAAAGTCAAGTTGAGCTCAAGTAAAAATTAACAAATTTTTTTTAAAAGAAGTATAAAAAATCATTCAGATAGAACAATATATATAGTTCTAAAAGAATAATAGAAGTTTCATTCTATAAGAATAATAAAAAAATCATTTTAATAGAACTATAGTAAATTGTTCTTAGAAAATAATAAAAAAAACATTCTGATAGAATAATAATGCATTGTTCCAATAGAATAATAAAAAGTATCATTCTAAAAGAATTATTAAATTATTATTCTGAAGTATAATTAAATTATCATTCTAAAAGAATAATTTTATTATTATTCTAAAATGAACGATTTATTATCATTCTTAAAGATGATTTTATTATCGTTTTAAAAAGAATGATTTATTATCATTCTTAAGAAATGATTTTATTATCATTCTTAAGAAATGATTTTATTATCGTTCAAAAAAGAATGATCATTTATTTATTATTCTATTGAAATGATTCTTCTATTGTTCCTTTAGAATAATGCTTTATCATTCTATTAGAATGATTCTTTCTATCATTCTAATAAAATGATATTTTATTATTTTATTAAAATGATTCTTCTATTGTTTCTTTAGAACAAATTTTTATCATTCTATCAAAACAATTTTATTTATGTTCCTTTAAAATGATATTTAATTGTTCTATTAGAATAATATTATTTATCACTTCTTTAGAATGATATTTTATCATTCTATTAAAATGATTCTTTATATTGTTCTTTTAGAACGATGCATTATCATTCTATCAGAATGATTTTATTTATTATTCCTTTAGAATAATATTTTATCATTCTATCAGAATAATCCTTCTATTATTCCTTTAGAACAATTCTTTTCATAATTCTCTCAGAATGATTCTTTTATTGTTCTTTTAGAATGATAATTTATTATTCAATCAGAACAAATAACTTAAGTCGAATTAAATTAAAGTTTAAAATTTTTTTTAACTCAACTCAACTCAACTCAATTTTTCGAATTGAGTTGAGTTTGACAAAAACTCATTTAACTTGATTCATTCAAAACTCAAGAGATGATAATAAATGCAAATAATCCAAATATTTTATCTAGTTCATTCTTAGCTCAATCATATGTTTAAGAATTTTAGTTAGTTTTAATAACTTATCTGCTACAAATAAAAATGCTATTCTAAACTACTAAAAATTAGTTTTAGTTAAATAAAATTAGTTTCAGTAGTTTTAGATATTAACTAAATTAGTTTTAACACTTAACTAAACTAGTTTCAGTTAATCTAAACTACAGAATCTTTATTAATTTAAATTTTAACTAAAGTACTAATCACTTTCAAATCCAAAATGCGTTTAATCATTTCATACGTAAAATTCTAATGAGTTAAAATATTTAAAATGGGAGACAGAATTTTAATGTCATGAAGATTTGAAATTTCTTTGAATTTTTGTCATTATTGAGAAGAAGAACGACATTTAATAATAATATTTCTGATTCAATCTATTTCACATTTAAGTTCTTTTAAAGTATATTGAACTGCAATATTCAAAATATCAAATGTGATTATTTTTAACCGAAAAAGTAGTGTTTCACAAAAAATCTGATTCAATCTAAATCTGATC